AGTAACAAAATATATTCGGTCGTTGGAGCTTATACTTGGTGCTTTTTTTACCTTTTTTAAAAAGGTAAGTTTTTTAGTATCATATACCTATATTGTTTCCTAAATGGAATAAAATTGATTCCAGGCACTAATCAACAAATAAATGATGTCGGGACTCAGAAAACATGTTCTGTTGCGATACCTAAATCGTGGAGCGTTTCCCAACTTTCAAATATGTCTAGACAAAAACTCCTATTCTCGTATGCTAGAATGATAACGAAAAACAAAGTAGAGGTGCCAATAATTCAGAAGTGTGTAACTCTCTATTCTGATAAAACACTACGTTATCACGTTTATGGACATCTCGTTAATTCAAAGGAAGTAATGCTTGTTGAAGTCTTGGATAAAACCGAAGCATTGCCAAATATTTTGGATACATTTGAGAGAATGAATGTATGCAGTGGCATGGGCACTATTAATGTTCATTATTTGCAAGTTGATAATGTATTTAAAGACTATCTTCAGCAATGGCACCACAACAACTGCTCTCTAATCTCGAAAAGTAACAGATGCGACAATTGCTTGAAGTAACGGAAAGTACAATTGCAGAAGGAAGCAAGATTTAAAAAGCGCAAAACATTGTATCGCATTTTTAGCTCGTCAAATCCAGTAGAAAAAACAAAATTAATAATAATGCAAAAAAGAAATAGTTACGAAAGACGTAAAAAGAATCGCGCTAGAAAACGAGTGGCGTTGCTACTGCAATCGTTGAGGGATAAAAAAGATGAAATGTCGAAGATCAATGCTGAAAGCTTTGAAAAAAAGTTTTGATTTGGACGGTCCAACCACTCAAAAAATTGTGCTCAAGGAAATAGTAGAGGCTGCGATAAAGAAAGATGCACAAGGTCGGCGCTACACAGAGGAGTGGATAATGTTATGTATATTAATGAACATTCGCTCACCGGCGTACTATGAGTTTCTACGCAAAAATAATGTTCTACCATTGCCCTGTACACGGACGATTCGTGGCTACTTTTCTATCATTGATATGAAATGTGGTTTCGATATTAACTTTTTGCAACTTCTCAGGAAGCATTTTGAGTGTAAACCAATTCTACAACGTCACGGCGTGCTTTTATTCGATGAAATTAATTTGCGAAGGGCTATCTCAGTATGCTCGAAAAACCTTACCTACCTTGGCTTGACTGATTTTGGCAACAACGGGCCACAATCTACCGACATTAATGATCAAGCTACTCATGGTCTAGTTATCATGTTCCAATCGCTTACTGATACATTCACACAACCTATTGCTGTTTTTGCGTCGAAAAGTCCTGTTAAAGGGGAAGAATTATCAAAATTAGCGGTTAAAGCCATTGCATACATTGAAGAAAGTGGAGCAAGAATTCACGGGATTATTGCTGATGGTGCATCTACAAATAAGAAAATGTGGTCGCTATTAGGTATCACCAGTTCTATTAATGACACGAAAACATGGTTTAGCCATCCTCTGGATAGCGAACGAAAAGTTTTCGTGTTTTCTGATACGCCGCACCTGATAAAAACTACTCGGAACCGGCTACAGAATAAAAGACGATTGAAGGTGAGTTTCGAAATTAATAAAACTAAATTCTGAATTCCTCAAATATGAGCTAAAGTAATAATAAACGGAATAGGTGCAGTGGAAATGCTTTAAAAAATTATTAACTATTAGTTAATTAAATTTTATGTGTACAATTTTAATAGATAAATTCAACAAGCGGTTATATCGACTGGAAGTACTTTGAAACCTTGTACAATATCGATAGTCAACACGTGGCAAATACTAGAGTGTGTCCGAAAATAACAAAAAGGCACGTTTATCTCGATAATACTTAAAAAATGCGCGTACGACTTGCGACTCAGGTATTTTCTTTTATTCATTTATGTATAATTGAATTTAGTGACAAATAATAAGAAGGCACAGTTTAATTTATTATATGTCAATGCGAAATGAGCATCTATAAAACATTGGCCATTCCTCTATTTTTGTAGTAGAAACTCCGAGTATAATTCGTTGAATCCAATTTTACGTTTTACATTTCATCATAATATTTAACGGGTTTCTTCCTTTTACCTTAGTATTCCTTTATTGCAGATTTTTAGCAATTCTGTTGCTGATGGCTTGTCATTCTATTTGTCTCAAAAGTGCACACTGCTCGAAGGATGTGAAGAGACAATCTCTTTCTGTAAGCGTATGAACGATTTGTTCGACGCGTTAAACCGTAAATCTCCTAATGAAGGGCTTACTCCGGATAGCAAAAACTTCAAGGTAATCTTATATCTAATAATTCGAACGCTTGCGTAATAAGTGAGAATACAATAACATATTGAAAGTACAGCACGATATATAATATTGTGACGTCCGCTCGGCGCGATGTTCCGCTGTCGGCACAACACCCCGCGCACTCGCGTTCGTGTCGGTACGTCGCCTTTCTTACTCGCGCACCGCGCCACGGGTAAATGAGAGAGAGAGGATTAAAAGGAACAAGGAATCTTTATTGACAGTTAATCACACGTCTTCTTTCTCGAAAACTCGGGACAATTCTAATTAATCAATGATAAACATCATCTCATCGGTCCTTAGCGACCGGCGTCTCCATGCGCCGCAACTTCAGCCCACAGCTGGCGCGTATCCATCGGGTGACCGACGCAACACCTCGCGGGCGTAACACTGCCCCCCTCCTCTTCGGATTGTCGTCCCGACAATCAAAGGGGGAACAGCCTTCCCTCGGTCCTCTCGAAGATTTCGGACTTCAGGGTGAGAACAGGACTCCAGTCCTTCTCCCCTCCGGGACAGTCCCCAACCGGATTTTCCTGGGAGAGACAAACAGTCTTCCCCCCACCGGCTCCAAGGCGACTCCTTCCCCAAGTCCATCTGCACACATGCAGATCTGTACCGCATAAATTCACGTCCTCTTGACGTTGTTCTTCGACGTCATCTTCAACGACGACGACGACGACGACGTCCACGACGACGACGACGACGAAGCCGATGATGACGTCCCTCGATGTCATCCTCTTGCAAATCTTCAGACAAGGGGGGGGGGAATTCTTTTCGTGGACCCAACGCCGTTTAAGGCTCCCCGAGTCCCTACCCTGGCATTTGCCCAGAGTCCACACGGGAAAACCACGATCAAAAAACCGCGGGAAGGGCAGTCTTCTTTTAAACAAAAAAAAAATATCACACAAGGTAGGAGGGAAGTCCTTAAGTTGGAAGGCAGGATC